ATTTGTCTGTTAATACTTATGCTTAGAAACACGCAGCGTTACTCTATGTGTTGACGTCATTTTAACTGAAACAGGAAGACAGGGCGGGACATATCAAGCAGCCCCGCCCCTTTTTAAAATAGCCAATAGCGTTTGTTTATATCACTGCTTGGGCTAGAGCCGTTCAGAGCCGTTGAGCTCCGTAAAGCCGCATTTGACAGGGTATGCCAGCCACAATCTCATCCAAAATATAGCATTCTGTGTAGAATTCAAATATCTCCGATACATTTTGTGGTCTGCGCCGACTCGCGCATGTGATCTGCTCCATGCTATCGTGTCTCTGGACCGGAGCATAGTGTGTGTGCGGTGGTTAGCGTGACACAGCGTGAAACCAGACTTATTTTATTCCTCAATGGAAAGCATATTTACACTGTTTGAATCGTTCCCTGTCCCCTATATAGTGCACTACGTGCCATTCACTGTACAGAAAACACTAATTCTCTGGACAAATGACCGATTTCAGCCGCGGCTTCAGCGTCTATTTATAGTGCAGGGGGCGGGCGCTTCGGATTCTATAGAGCATTTGATTGGACAGAAAGTTTGATGAGAAGCTGAAGTACGATGTGACGTCAAAAAAGAAACGTTGAGCCGTTTTGGCGGAAGTGACGAACTGCAAGCTTTGAATGCTTATATCTTCTAAATGCGAATTTTGTCACTGTTTTGGAGCACACTGCCTTATAGATAACCTTAAGACTAACATATTGATACTAACACCCAAAAAACTTTAATTTTGATTTCATGCGGACTTTAAATGCAACCTTCACGAGCTCTGTTAGCGGAAAAGAAGACCCAAAAGTGAAGATGCTGTCCCCCGGTTTCAAAGACAAGGCTTAAGCTTAAATAATTAATTAAATTCATAGGAAAAGGGTTATTATTAACTTAAACTATTAAAACATTTAAGTTAATTGAAATAAAGCTGAAATTAAATAAAATATAACCTTAGTTGAAAAATGTAAACTTAATGAAAATTAGAAATGTCGCCTTAATAGACTGAAATAAGTTTAAGTTGAAGCACTAAAATAACTCGAAATAAAAAAACTTAAACTAAACAAAAACTGAAATATGAACTATGTGAATATAAATAATTTAATATCAAATTACCGCCCCTTTTTAAAATAGCCAATAGCGTTCGTTTATATCACAGCTTGGGCTAGAGCCGTTCAGAGCCGTTGAGCTCCGTAAAGCCGCATTTGACAGGGTATGCCAGCCACAATCTCATCCAAAATATAGCATTCTGTGTAGAATTCAAATAGCTCCGATACATTTTGTGGTCTGCGCCGACTCGCGCATGTGATCTGCTCCATGCTATCGTGTCTCTGGACCGGAGCATAGTGTGTGTGCGGTGGTTAGCGTGACACAGCGTGAAACCAGACTTATTTTATTCCTCAATGGAAAGCATATTTACACTGTTTGGACCGTTCCCTGTCCCCTATATAGTGCACTACATGCCATTCACTGTACAGAAAATACTAATTCTTTGGACAAGTGACCGATTTCAGCCGTGGCTTCAGTGTCTATTTTATAGTGTATGGGGCAGGCGCTTCAGATTCTAGAGAGCATTTGATTGGACAGAAAGTTTGATGAGAAGCTGAAGTAGGATGTGACGTCAAAAAAATAAAAAATAATTGAGCCGTTTTGGCGGAAGTGATAAACTGCAAGCTTTGAATGCTTATATCTTCTAAATGCGAATTTTGTCACTGTTTTGGAGCACACTGCCTTATAGATAACCTTAAGACTAACATATTGATACTAACACCCAAAAAACTTTAATTTTGATTTCATGGGGACTTTAAGTCCTGTGTTCTCCCCTGGTTCTTTGTCTGCTATTTGTTGTTGTTATGTCGATGTGTGCTACCCTTTACTCTTGGATTATTTCTATGGATTTCTCATTAAAGACCTTATTTGGATTTCTCCCTCGTCGTGCGCTTTTAATTTCTGTGGATTTCTCATTAAAGACTTTATTTGGATTTCTCCCACGTCGTGCGCTTTTAATAGCACCCTACCGTAACAGAATAGCAGACCCTCAAAGTGAGTAATTCTAGCGTTGTTTTTCTTTCTTTTTTTTGTTTCTCCCCTCTCCCGGAATGGATATCCCAGCCATCCAACTCCTGTGCCTGGAGCAACAGGACCGTTCGTTGGAGGACCATACCAGGGACTTTGTAGATATGGCGTGCCTTACACACTTCCCTGACTGCTCGCTCGGCGTATTCTATCACACGTAATCTATGTAAGGCACGCCTGCCAGCGAACGGTCCCAAGGAGGATTTCGCCGCTTTCGTGGAGTGGGTGCTGGAGAGAAAGGGACTGTATTTCTCCGTCTGCCCGCTGAGGAAGACATCTCCAGCCCCACTCACGAACCAGACACCAGTCAGTCGTCATCCCGCTGCACGGCGCTATTGCCTGAGCCCGCCGCAGATGGAGAGCCTGAGCCCGCCGCGACACGAGAGCCAATGTGCAAAGCTGCAACTGAGCTGATCATCGCCCCGGAGCATGAGCCTCAAGCATCGTCTGACCAAGTGCGTGTGCCGGCAACATCGTCCGTTTCCGAGGGAGTTTTGGTGGAGATCGAGGGCTTGGAGGGAAGCCCCGCCCACGCTCCCGTGACTGAGGGTGAGCTGCATCTGGTTTCTGGAAAATATTTAGAGGAACTAATGGACATTTTCCAAATGGACTTAATAGACTGGTTTGGGGAGGTAATACCCAGTTCTCCAGTGTCTCCGCTGGTTCTGCCCAGCCCTGAATCTCCTGCGTCTCCACTGGTTCCGTCTAGCTCCTGTTCTCCTGTGTTCCCTCCCAGCCTCCCTCTCCCGCCTCCTTTTATACCAGTCAGTTCCTCAGCCCCATCTCCGCTGGTGCCTGTCAGTCCCTCAGCTCACCCTCAGTCAGCGCCATCTGGGCGCTCTGATCCACCTCGGGACTTCCAGTCTCCTAGCTCCGCCTTGGCGTGAGGATCCCCTGTCTCCGCCTCCAGCCTCCGAGTCCTGGACTCCACCTCGGTCCTTCAACCCATCGGCTCCGCCTTGGCTCCTAGCTCCCTCATCTCCACTGTGGCCCGTCATCCCACCAGCTCCACCGGGCTCCCTTGTCCCTCCGGCTCCGCCTTGGTCAGTTGTCGACCATCTGCTGCCTCAGGACTCCACTCCTCTGGCTTCGCCTCGTCACTCCATCCCTTTGGCTCTGTCAGGCTCCTCCTTCCCTCCGGCTCCGCCTCCATCCTCAGTCGCTCCGGCTCCGCCGCGGTCTTCCGGAGCCCCGCCTCCGCCTCCGCCTCGGTCGCCTGAGCCTTCAGCTCCGCCTTGGCCCTCCGGATCCTCTGTATCGCCCTGGCTCTCCGTCTGCTCGGGTCCATCCTGGGCTCCTCTTCTACCAGCTCAGTCTCCGTCAGTCGGCCCCCTGGTGTTGTCGGCCCTATCTCCACCATGGCTCCTCCCGCCGTCGACTCCATCGTGGGCCACTATCCTGGCTGGCCTCTGGAGCTCCATCTGGCTCCTCCTGTTCCGTGCTCCTCCCTGGCTCCTCCCTCCATCCACTCCGCCCTGGCCTTATGAACTATGCCCCTTTCCCATTGCCTGCCCCACTCCCGCCTCCTGAACCCCTACCCTCCCTCCTCTGTTGGACTGCTTTTGTCGGCGCGAGGACACGCCGTTCTGGGAGGGGCCGAACTGTCACAGTTATGGACTTTTGTTTGTGTTCCTGTTCTCCTGCCTTAGTCTTCCTTTTGACCTAGTTTTCCTGAATTGCCCTGATTAGTTGATTTGGTTCCACTATCTCATTTGTCTGTTAGTACTTAAGTCCTGTGTTCTCCCCTGGTTCTTTGTCTGCTATTTGTTGTTGTTATGTCGATGTGTGCTACCCTTTACTCTTGGATTATTTCTGTGGATTTCTCATTAAAGACTTTATTTGGATTTCTCCCGCGTCGTGCGCTTTTAATAGCACCCTACCGTAACACTAAGGTTGTTTAGATGTTTTCTTGGAAAACAAGACAAAATAAAAATAATGATTTTTGTTTCTAAAGTAAATTTTTTCCTATGTTTACAACATGTTTACAATTTTTTATTATTATTCATAAATAAAAAATGAAAAAATAAATAAAGATAATTTTTGGTTCACAAGTACAGTAAATGTAGAGATAATGATCTCTCCATGCGATGGCGCCGCAGACGGCAGCCTCAGTGTTTGGCTCTCCAGTGTTTGTACTGTTTTTGTTAGTTTTTCTTGTTGTTTTTTTTTCTCGGACCATATCGCTCGGTCCCCAGAGCAGCTGTAGGACTCTCTGACCACTGCCTGGTTCATCTTATACCGACTTACAGGCATAAACTTAAATCTGCTAAACCTGTAGTAAAGTCTGTAAAGAGATGGACCAACGAAACAGAGCAGGCATTGCAAGCCTGTTTCGACTGCACTGATTGGAGTGTTTTTGAAGCAGCCACCAACGATCTGGACGAGCTCACGGAATCTGTAACATCATATATCAGTTTCTGTGAAGACATGTGCATCCCTACCAGGACTCATTTAACATTCAATAATGATAAGCCATGGTTTACAGCAAAACTTCGTCATCTTCGTCAGGCCAAAGAGGACGCCTACAAAAGGGGGGACAGAGTCTTGTACAATCAGGCCAGAAACACACTGAATAAGGAGATTAGAGTGGCCAAGAGGAACTACGCTAAAAAACTAGAACACCAGTTTTCTGCGAATGAGCCTGCATCAGTGTGGAAAGGCCTGAAGGACATCACCAACTACAAGACACCATCCCCCAGCACTGAGGCCAATCAACAACTTGCTGAAGACCTGAATGAGTTTCCAACACTGACCTCAATTGCATTCTAAAAGCAGCCAAAACATCCTGTGATCACTTTGAAGGAAGTTGCAATGCAGGAATGGCAAGATGGTAACAGAACTACATGTGATAATCACATAAATGGAATGCTTATGACTATTTAAAGGCTCCACAGACTCACCACAGCGGCCTTGGTGATGCACACGGATGTTCTTCTGAGTGGCGCAGGCTTTCATGTGGAGCTCACATTCGCTTTGGTAGTCCAGGCCGTCGCTGCCGCACACCACGTGCTTGGGGACGTTCTCACAACTCAGAGGACACATGCACTTGGCGGACAGACCGTCGGATGACTGGATGCAGGTGCTGCCAAAGCTACAGGTCACCTCACTGCATGGGTCCTTCAGGGCTGAAAAACAAGGAACAGAGAAAGTGAGTGTAGAAAATGCCTGAATAACATTTGACAACATAATCTGAGATGAAGTGGCTCTTAGTGTGTTGCTATGTGGTTGCTTGTTTTTTAAGTTTTATAAAGTATGCTCGTACCTATTCATGCATCTAGCACACATGGTACAGGAGGAGCTGCGTGCCAAAGTTTAATAACGTTAACGTTAACGTTAGCACAAATGACATAAATTACATGATGTACCGTTGGTCGTGTTCGCATAATTGGTTGGCTGCTTGTCATGTTCACACTACAAAGTTTGTTTAAGGTGGGAGTTCATGGGTGAGCTCCAAACATGAACCCTATTACTGAGATAAGATTGGGTTAAAATGAGGCACGGTCTCCCAGCACCTCCACACGGCTCAGACGTGCCCCGTGTCGATACAGATGGCAGAGTGAAGTGGCTTAACCCGGGCTGAAGAACAGCTCAGTGCCCCAGACTTGAATATTCGGTCACAGCTGGGTGGGCGTACAAACAAGTCACTCTAATTCACCACAGACCATTTCAAGCAAGCTTTGCATTCACAAAACATTCTCAATTGCTATGCTTCAGCGTACCCGTCCTTATGCTGGAGGGACCTAATCAGCTTTTTTCACTCTGAAAATAAGAAAGCCACATTTTTTCTGAAAAAGACTTTGTCTATTTCTTATTAAACATTCCACCACTCAGGACTGAAGGTGAAGAAATGATTTACACAAAAATGACATTTCGGTCATCATTTATGCCATTCCAATCCTGACGCAAACAGATCTTAAATCCTGGCTGCTCCCTTTCATATAGTGAAAGTGAATTGGGGCTGTCAAGTTTCAAAACGACAAAAAAAGTGTCTTAAAAGTATCATAAGTGGTCAATTTGACTCATGCATTATATTTTAAGTGCAAGTCTATTGAAGCCATATGATAAGTTTGTGTGAAGAATAGACTGAAATTAAAGGGTTAGTTCACCCAAAAATGAAAATTCTGTCATTAATTACTCACCCTCATGGCGTTTCAAACCTTTAAGGCCTTTGTTCATCTTCGGAACACAAATTAAGATATTTTTGATGGAATCTGAGAGCTGTCTGACCCTGCATAGACAGCAACACAGCTGAAATGTTCCCAAGTCCAGAGACGTAGCAAGGAGATCTGTAAAATAATCAATGTGACATCAGGGGTTCAACCGTAATTTTACGAAGCTACGAGAATACTTTTTGTGCGCAAAAGAAAAAAAAAAGACTTTATTCAATGATTCGTCTCCTCCGCGTCACCCTGTAGCGCCATTTTGGAGAGTATCAGCTGGACGTAAACAGCGTATGCTGTTCTGTGCCGAAGATGAACAAAGGTCTTACAGGTTTGAAACGACATGAGGGTGAGTAATTAATGACAGAATTTTCATTTTTGGGTGAACTATCTCTTTAATAAGCATCAACAAATCACACATTTGAATCAGATTTTGCCAGTGAATCAGTAGTATGGAACGACATAAAGGTGAGTAAATGATTAAATAATCCCTTAATTCTACATAAATGAGAAAGGTGGAAGTTTTAATTTGCAATACACCAGGGCGATTTAACTGGAATTAATACATATCTGTTTCTGATACTCACAGGAACCATCTGATTATTATCATTATTATTTAGATGATACATATTCATGAGGCATTGACAAACACGGAGATGCTGACGAGTGTCACTTCAGAGAGGGCTAGTTTCATTTCCGACCATCCCCACACACTCTAATTCATTCTCACTATCTCCGTACCTGTTTTCACCTCTGCCGTGCGTCATATCAGCCTACAGTCTCCTCTATCATTTGCAGGTTTTACTTTGTGTAAATCTGTTAAGAGAACCCACTTGTTTAATTAAAGGTTTGTGCCTGTCTCTAAGGACCACGCTCCACTTTTGCAGCGTGACACGCACACACAAACCCACTCGCACGCATGTGATAAACCTGGCAAGCGGCATCGTAAGGATGAGATCAGTGGCGCTTTCATGTGTTGTGTGATCAAAGTGTTCATTCTCTTTTCCTCCTCTCACTCTAAAAAAAGATGACTGTGCCTCCCTCGTTTTTGGACGTCTGAACCTCGCACTTCATCAGCCTGGGATCGCTAACTAACCAACCACTCGCACTTCCAAAAAACTCATTGTGAATGTTTTTGTGGAGGAAGTGCTAATACATGTCCTGAGACTGCAGACAACAGCCACATACAGGTCGTGTTTTACACTTTGTCGCGATGCTGAATTAAGGAAAGTTGAAAGATACATTGGTATACAAAAATCTATAATAGACAAGTCAAAAGTCCTCATATCTTCACTTCTTTTGTAATAAAAATAAATAAACTCAAACATACAATGGCAGTTATATGCTGTACATCTCTATGGTTTGTATTTTTAATTACAATTATGTTAATATGGTAACACTTTAGTATAGGGACCAATTCTCACTATTAACTAGTTGCTTATTAGCATGCCTATTATTAACATATTAGCTGTTTATTAGTACTTATAAAGCACATATTATGCATGACTATATTATACATCCCTAATCCTACCCAATACCTAAACTTAACAACTACCTTATTAACTGTTAATAAGCAGCAAATTAGGAGTTACTGAGGCAAAAGTCGTAATTAATGGTTTACAAATAGAGAGAATTGGACCTTAAAATTAAGTGTGACCATTAATATAATACTATTTGAATAATTTAAGACTTATTAGGCCCTTAATTGTTGAGAACCACTGGACTAGTGGATCTTTGTCATGTGACCATATGTATAGAAAAAGCCAAACAGCTGACTGAAATTGAAGATGTACAGTACATGTGAAAATTGACACACATTTTTAATGATAAAAACTACTATTATAAATATAAATACAAATGTTAAAAAGGATTTATATTTTATTTAATAATATTTGAATGCAATATTTTATTTTAAAACAAAATAAATAATTATTAAAATTAGAAAATAATTTATTTATTGCCATATGATTAATCCCTAACATGTTGCAAATTGCGACCCCTCTCTCACCTATGCAGTTTTATTTTTTCCCTAAAATGATAAACAAGTCTGTTCAGTCTATGATGGCCTTTGAGACGAGCTGACGCATTCCGGTACTTTCCTCATCCTCACAGTCATAAACTAATGGCAGCTGAGCTCTGACTCATTATTTCTGCTTTGACAGATTGGCCTCATCCCCAAAAGCCTGCCTCTAAGACATCTGATTTCATCAGTCTGATGTAAAGCGGTTCTTTAAATCAGTTCTGATGTGTCTGTCAAGAAGTATACATTGAGAAGAGTCCGATGATCCGCATAAACAGCTTCCTTCTCAGTGGCGCTCTGTTTGTTTTGTGACAGTACGCAGAATTGCCTCCGCGAACCCATTAAATAACAGTCGGCGCTTTTCCACCTATTGTCGCCGAGAGTTGATGAGCGTCGAAGAAAAGGATGAGCTGATTAAAATGCAAAAGGCCACTCGGTATAAGGTGCGTCCGCGGCTCTCCGCTGTGTTAGCACAGATAAGCTGCCCTCTCAGGCTGAGACAAGCAGGCATATTGTCTTTTAGAATGTGACCGGCGTCGCAAGCCAAGAGGCTACGAACCGTTGGGGTCGCAACAGAGATGAGCCGTTTCCTCCTTATGCTTTAGTGCTCATTTTCAAGGATAGAAATACAGTATCTTGAGGAAAAAGTAGGAGTCTATAGTTACCTATTGATGAACTGGAAATGTCTCTCGCAGCCAATTAACTGCTCTCTTCCAGCTCTGAAGAGGTTAGGACAGGAAGAAAAGTAGGAAATAATAGGACCTATACAACGAACTAATAAGGCATAAACAGAGTGAGAGGAAGTCGAGACAGCGAGGAAGCTTCCAATGATCCACCTTTCAGACAGTGCTTGTGATAATGTGTTAGTGCTGGATGTATTAATGCGTAATGCATGCAGGGAGCTGTCAACGGCCGCTACGTGATCCTGACGGGATCGGCTTGGCACAACCCGCCCTGTACGCGAACCCCGGGCGCCCTCTCCAGCGTGACAGAAGATGTATGTGTATGTATGAGTGTGCGCATGTGTTAAGGAGGCTTGAGAAGAGCTGCGGGTGGTGTCGGTCTCATTTCCTCTGAATAGTATGGATTAAACACAAGTGAACCACTATCAACAGTGTTTGGTGGCATAATAGCACCAAAAAAACAGCACAAATTGAGGTTACAGTGAGGCAATTACAATAGAAGAGAATGGGAGCAATGTCATAAATACCAAGTTCTGTCATGAAACTCTAGATGGCGCAGGCTGATGAGTCATTAAGGCAAACTGATGATATTCACAGCATTAAACTACTTGGCACAAGTTGATTGGTTCATGTTGCATACGCAGCCAATAAGCTTGCTGCTTTACATTTAAATGGCTGGTTAGCATCCACTAGAGCATTTCACAGCGCGCTTTCAGAGTTAAGGTCCTCCGAAATTTTCGCATGCGTTTTTCAGTTTTTTCATATTCGTCATCCTTTCTTATCAAAATGCATGCTACGGATGCGAAAATGCAGTAAATCGAACCTGATCCGAATTTTTTTATGACGGACGAAAGTTTCAGAGGCAGTGTGTAAACGTCATTGACACAACATGAGGTCGTATTTATTTTTTAACATGCGAAAATTTCGGGCTCAGTGTGCAATGACTTTTACTTTGAAACCCTTCACCTTCCCCAGCTCCACCTGTATAGATCTGCTACGGGTTATTATATATGATACTTGTGCAGCAGCAGTATGTCTTAAATACTCACAGCTAGGCATGGGACGATAACCGGTTTCAAGGTATACCGCGGTTTGGAAAAGTCACGGTTTCAAAACCACTGAAATTTAACGTTATACCGTTCCTGCAGTATGCACAGTTTTTTTTACGTGTCATCAAAGATGGAAAGTGCAGGACTCCCTCAGCTGTGTGCAGCAAAGAGCGTAACGAGTCACACGACCCCTCCCCCTCCGGTTGGTGCGAG